CAAACAAAAACAAATTGCTGACAATCCTCAACTCAGTTTATTTCTGGTCGAACAAGCGGAATTCTGTTTAGTCAATTAAACCTGTGCATTTTTTTTTTCATGATTCATGTTACTGATTGGTTTATTTCACATCAAGGATTAGTGGAGGAGTAGAGGGTTTGTTGATGTTCAGAAAATCTGGTTCCAACACCTGCAGACGGTGTGATAATTGCTTTGGTTCATGTTCAGTGAAGTCAGTGTGCCTTTGCTCCCTGAGTGTGTGTGTGTGTGTGAGAGAGAGGCATCAAAAGGCACATGTGATTGGAATACAAAGGGCTGCCACGGTGGTAAACATGGCAGGGAAGCACATTCAGAAATGATATAGTGTGTGTGTGTGTGTGTGTGTGTGTGTGTGTGTGTGTGTGTGTGTGTGTGTGTGTGAGACATCGTCATCATCAGGTCAAACATCTCATCTGACTGATGTTTACCAGATGTTTTCTGAGTCTGCACATCTCAACTGTTATAAATCACACACTTCTCTGTGGGCTTCATGGTTAGTGTTAATAAATCTAATCATTATAAAGACTGACAGGTTTGATTGACAGGTTTGATTGACAGGTTTGATTGACAGGTCTGACTGACAGGTTTGATTGACAGGTTTGACTGACAGGTTTGATTGACAGACAGACATGGTTTTCTAACAGATTATTTAATCAGATTAAGATGATCCAGCAGGTTCAGTTTTGAAACTAACTCCATGCAGCTGATTTATCTTCCTGTCTGTGTGTCCTCAGTTTCCCAGCATGCCCTGGCTGCAGTGGTGGAGGTGTATGAGGGGGCGGGGTCTGTCCTGATGCCCTGTGTCTATAAGGGTCAGATGCCTAAGGACCCATTTGTCAAGTGGACTCGGAATGATCTTAATCCCACATCTGTCCACCTGASACAAAWARAAGGAGATRATCTTAMAGACCAGAACCAGGATTACAGAGRCCGGACATCAATGGACCCTGATGCTCTGAATTCTSRAGACTTCAGTCTGACTCTGAGGAAACCTCGACTCTCTGACTCTGGAAACTATGATTGCATCATCACTGATGGACTAGCATATATTAAAGTGACAGAAGTTCAGCTGAAGGTCAAAGGTGAGCAACACACTGCAACAACTGCAGGAGGTCAAAGGTCAAGTTACAGACAACAAGATGAGATAATTAAATATTTATTGTACAAAGTTCTGATGAACCAAGTAAACAAAGGCTTTAATAAAAATACATTTTGGTTTATTTGTGATTAMATATGTTATTTAAGCCTCAGATTAAAATGTCATCTGGTCTGATTTTCTCCAGATGAACAAGAAAATTAAACACAGCTGCTCTCCTGCTAATCTGGATTAAAGATAAACAGTTTCAGTCAGCTCTACCTGACAGATTTAGTTTTTGGTACTTCTTTAGTTTATTCTGTGTTTTTCCTCAGCTCAACAGGAGAAGGTGGAGCTGAAGGTGGACAAAGGAACAGAGTCCATCATCCTGCCCTGCACAACAACACCTGACCTGCCTCAGGACACCATAGTGGAGTGGACTCGTTCTCATCCAGTGTTTATGTTTGTTCATGTCTTTTCAAACACGAGTAAACATGGTAAAGACAAAGATGATCAGTACTGTGGACGCACTAAGATGAACCAAGACCTGCTGAGAACTGGAAACCTCAGTCTGACCCTGAATCACCTCAGAGATCAAGACAATGGAAGCTACACCTGCACCATCTACAGACACCAGGACATCCTGAGACAGGAAGTAGTCCTCACATATAT